CAGCTGAAAGGAAGAGATGAAAGCTCCATCACAATTTGTCAAATAAAGACCACCTTAGTATGTCACTAAATATCTGATAATCAGAAGTGCAGAATTCTAATCTGCTGTTAAGTGCTTTGATAGCAAAAGGAGGAGCTCACAGGCTACAACCTATAAAAGCTTTTCTTGCATAATTTCATGAAAGTTTTCTTGTAGTATCCATGCAAATTCCCTGTGACAGAGGTCAGGATTAAGACAAAGGGCCTGGCGAAATACCTGGAGCAATCTGTCTAATTCTATGCATTCCTATTCTAAAATACTGTCAAAATGGAATAGGTGTAGAAGAGGGGAACAGAGAATGATTTGTAAGAACACAGATTATTTTTTTATTTATTTATCCCAGTAAAATAAAAGCTGTAATGAGATGTTTCCTCCTAAAGTAATAAAACTCACCAGAGACTGAAGTCAATATGCACACAAGAAAAGACAGTACACAGTAGTTCTAAATAAAAGTGGATTGGGAACCTTCTACTGACCCTCATCTCTTCAAAGGAAGAAATTTTGGAAAAGCTATTTAGAGGAGGAAGGAGCCTGATTATCTTAAAGGTAGCCCATGGTAAGTTTGCTGAGAAATCATAGGATGCCATGCATCAAACTGGACAGTACTGGTCTCCAAACTGGAAAATTCTCCTTGTCCTGTTGGTGTAAGTCTTTGCTGCTGACACTGTGCAGGTATTATTGAGTGTTTTGTCTGACCCTGCAGTCCGTTCTGGCTTGGTGGCTTGAGTTTTGATTTAGCAAGTTGATCTTACCCCATCCAGATATGGTTCAGGACTGGGATCTGAACACAACATGAGAATCTAGACTCAACCCTTCTGGTTTCAGAAGGCGGGAAGTAGGGAAGGTTATGTGCCTTCCTGAAAAGCTCCTTCCATAACTTAAAAGCGTTGCATTTAGTTACAAGAACATTTTTTCTAATAGCTCCAGGAAGAAAATATTTTGCTATTTGGCATTTGTGGCCTAAACAGACAGTTAGACATAAGACAAATTTACTTATTTCTTAACATTTTTAAGTTTGTCTGAAAAGATGTAAATGGCTTTTCTTCTACTCTGTAACCCTGAGAATTTTGAATTCCTGTCACAGGAAAGAAACACAGAAGAATGCAATGGAAAATGAAGTTAAATCTGAGGGTAAAACAACTGATCTATCGTTAATCCTCTCAGTGTATCTCCTGTTTTGCGTTAGGGGAGGCACCAGAAGGTGAAGGGCTGAAGTGCCGCGAGGCTCCACACACTGTTTGCCTTTCACACACATGGCTTTCACAGGATACTGGGATGTGTGTGTTTGAGTGTGTGAGCCCTTCCTAGTCTCTCATCAAGGTTTTCCCATCGACAGCAGTTCCACTTCAACAAATGAATAATATTTTAGAAAATTTGTCTATCGGTACAAGAAGCTCCACAGTGGCAAATATTAAAAGTTTATGGAGCTGATGTTGGGTGAGGAGAAAGTGGAAGTTGTTGTGCGAAGGGGTGAACCTGTGCTGTCCTGTGTAACCTTTGGAGATGACTTCCAGAGACCCTCCTGCTCCTGGCACCCTAACCCTGCCAGTGACACTAACCCTGTGTTTCAGGAGGCCAGCGGCTGAGACCTGTGGCTTAAATACTGACCCACAGTCTGGTCCTGGCTTGCTGGACTGAGCAGCACCTGAATAGCCCTTTATGCTCTCACCCTGACCACACACCCCAGTCCTGCCCCCTACCCTGCTGAGCTCTGTCAGCACAGATCCCGCCCTCCACAATGTTTTACCTCTGGAGAGGACTTCTCTAGTTCCTGGTGTGGGGTGGATTGGGCAAGTGATAAAAATGGGGAAGGTTTCCAAGCGGGTTCCAGCAGCACGGATGGGTGGCAGTGTGGTGCAAAATCCTCCAACAACGGGATGGCTGGAGCAGGGACAATCAGGTCCTGGGATGTGGCACCTGCCTTGTGGGGCAGGAATGGGCGAAACTGCATGTCACGATATGTGGGTGTGTGGGACCACTGCGCATTTGATCATGCATCTTGCTCTGAGGAATGTAGTTTTGGGCTTCTCTGAGAAACAGCCTCTTGCTTTCAGCTCTGTCTCTCCAGGCAACCTCCTGCCCACCAGGTGAGCATTTTCCATGTGCCTATGATGCCTTCCTTCCAGTTATTCCCACAACTGCTGGTCTCCCTTGTTTGTAAGGGACCAAGTGCTTGTCTTGGTTCATCAACAATAATGTGGAGTTGCTGTGTTACAGGCAGCTAGGAAGGACTTCAGAGTGGGGCCTGTCTGTGTTGGTATTGATGAAAATTCCCCAAAGCTGCACACTCTGTTCTGGCCTCTTGCCTGCCCCTCTAGGGAGGGTATTTCCATGATGAGTTAGTCAGAGTTGTTTGTGTTTTGCCATGTTCCCAAGGCGATAAGCATCCTTACGACATCTATTTGCTTACTGGGCATCCAAAATGAACTGGACAAAGCTCAGCTCACCTCCTCCAGCAGATAAAGGCACCCAGGGCAACTGAGAGAGGAATGACAATGGCACATCTTGCTGGGTCATGGGAGCAGGGGATGGAGGGTGCAGCAGGTGACAGCAGAACTGGGAAGCCAGGGTCTGGGCCACAGGCTGAGCCAAGTGTCTCAGCACAGGTACCACATGCCCCACTGAGATGGTGTGGAGCACAGACAGTGTGGAGCGCTGGCGGAGTGGTGTGCAGTGACTGCCTGTGGAGCACCATTGCTGTCTGCTACTGCTGGAATGAAGCTGAAGTCGCTCCATACAGCGGCTGAGGTGGATAGAGAAATGTTGCCCGGAGCCTGATAGGTGGGACTGTGCATGATCAGTTTGCCCACATCTGCTCCTGCTTACAAGCCACCTCCATTTCCATCTGCCGTTAATGATCTGTGTACCCCATCAGAGATGTGTGGGGCCCAGTATGGCCCAAACAAGTCTGCTGAGACAAAACGTCTGCCATAACTGGACACCCAGGACCCTGCTGGAGAGCTGGCCTGGCTGGCTGACACTGTCAGAGGCCTGCAGTGGGCGTGCGATGCGGCTGAGCAGAGCTGACCAGGTAAGAAGAACTGGGGAGCCCTCCAGAGAGCAGATGTTTTACATCTTTCTGCCTCAGCTCTTCTTGATGTACAGTTTCAGAGTGAAGGCATGAAGTTCTTAAGTGAGATCCTAATTTTATCATTTGCTGTTGTAATGGGAAAACATAAGTGTTAAGTATTAAAAGTATGCTGAGTTAAATAACTTCAAGGCTGGAGGAAAGAGAAGTGTCTGATGGCCAAAGCTGCCCAGAGCTGGCAGTTAAAGGGCTTTTGAGTTCTGTTCCTCTTCCTGCCAGTGATTCACTTCATGGCTCCAGGCGAGACACGTAACTAAGCTGAAATATTTTCTTCCAGCTGCAAAAGAGCTGTAACGCCAAATACAAGGAGGGCCTCTGAGGTTCAACTAATTCCAGGTCACAAAAAGCCTTGAGATTCTCACTAGGAAGTTGCTGGAGAAAGGCAAGTATTACAGTATTTCAAACTACTGTTCATAAATGAGCTCTTTGGCTTCACATTGGTGAAAAGCAGTGCCTGGAACTGCCTCTGCGAACAGCCCCGACGAAGGGGGTTGGGATCTATGGGAAACGGGCGTGAAACCACAGCAGGAGAGACAGCAGCAAACTCCACTGCTTCTTGTTGCTGCATCTGTAGGTGGCTCAGGCAGATGGGTTATTGGCTGTACCAGCAGAGAGGGCTGAAGAGGCAGGAGAAACCTTGGTGTAAAGAGAGAGGTGTGACGGTTGCTCTATACAGGGGGAAGAACAGGAGGATGGGAATTATGTCTGGGCTCTTCTAGCATGTCTCTCTTGAAGGAGGAGCAGGAGGTGGGGAAGACTGCTTACTCCTTTCAGGTACTGTGTTTGGTCCCATTCCTTGAGAAGAAATGGGGACCTAAGGGGTTGTCTGAATAAGCGGCAAAGGCTGTGGGCAGAGCACTGGTGCTCTGTGGTGCTGTGTGCTCCATGGGGAGCCGCAGGACAGGGCCTGCTCCTACAGGTATCATGAGGTAGGAGCAGGCTGTGAAGCTGCCTTGGGACAGAAGTTGTCCGAGCACATCAGAGCTCAGGGCAGCGATGGGTGTGCAAGTTGATGGTGCTCCTGATTAGCACCTGTGCTGGCTGACGCTTTGTGGGTTTTCAGCAGCTAGTTAACGTGGTTCCCCTCTGGGTAATAAAGCTCAGCTGATGGAAAAGAAAGTGGTCAGTCTCCTGGTGAGGAGTGCCCGACGTCTGCACCAGGCTGAGGGAAGGCAAATGAGCCGAGAAAATCTGGTCAAAGCCCCAAAATCCTTGAACAAAACAAATGTCTTTTTTAACTCTCATGGTGCTTCCCCCTTGTTGGCTAGTGCTTGCCCATGTCTGCCGAGCTGTCTGGCTGGTTTTCCTTCCAGCTGGGCAGTGGGAAAAGCTGGAACAGGGACAGAAGCCTTTTCTGCCAGGTTGCAACAGCCCCAGCAATGTGCCGGCGGGAACCTGCGAGTAGCTCAAAACCCTCTCCGGGTTTGGTGCGAAGGGCCCCAGCGCTGGAGAGCCGCTCTGCTCACTGCCCCGACCAGCCAGGCCTTGTGGTCAAGGCCATGACGCCCAGCCGGTGCGTCCTCTA